TCCCCCCTTTGTTGAAGAAGGTTTATGTGTTTTTGTTTTGTTTTGATTTTTTAGGGACCGATCGATCAAAGGCTTCTCGGGCAAACAGGTGAATATTGCTTTTGGGTAATTATGATTTCTGGTTTTATTTAGGGTTTCATTGTTAGCTGGTGAAGTTTTATGATTTGATTGTTGGGTAATATTTGCATGTGGGTTTTGTATGTCATAGAGATTTGAAATGAATTTTCATGAAAAGTTGTAACTTTGGCTCTGATATTGAAGGTTGATTTCGAATCATTTCATTTCTGTGAGGAAAGGTAGTGTTTTGATGGAAGTGAGATTAAGAGCTATGTGGGGGGTTTTGTGTGATTTCGAAATTTGAAATGAAATCTCTATGTGGGTTTTGTATGTTATAGAGATTTGAAATGAATTTCATGGAAAAGTTGTAACTTTTGTTTTGATATTGAAGGTTGATTTTGAAACATTTCATTTCTGTGTGGGAAGTTACTGTTTTGATGGAAGTGAGATTAATCTATGTGGGGGTTTTGTGTGATTTCGACATTTGAAATGAATTCTGTAACGTTTTTGCTATTATAAAGGGATAGTTTTGAACATTTCATTTTTGTGAAAAAGGTAGTGTTTGAATAGAGATGAGACTAACTATGTGGGGTTTGTATGTTTTATGATAGTTCTTAGCTGATAGAAGAGGCTAATTTTGAACATTTCATTTAGGTTGTGTTGGATAGAATTGAGTTTAGGGGCTCTGCTGTTTCAAAAATGGTTTATTTACGCTTCTATTTGCTTAATATGCGATCTTGGCTTTAAAAAGAGCGCCCTAGGCGGCCTTAGGCCAAGGGAAGATCGCCTGGTTGTGTCAAGGCCAGTCAGATTCCTAAGGGCGCGTGCCTTTCTGTGCCTTGTCTGATGTGCCAGGCGGCCAAGGCGATCGCCTCTTGGCTTCAGGCGTGATTTCTGTGTGTTTTCTGACCGCCTTTCTGCCTCTTGCCTTCTCGCGCCTTTTAAAACCAAGGATGCGATGAGCTTTTGTCGAACTAGGTGCAAGGTAGCTTAGATATATCTGTCCGGTTAGGTAGCATAGGATCTGTTTGTGTTTTTCAGGTTCTAGTGTTGGCAGAAAAACGGTTCTAGGCTTCCTTCTGTTCTTTTCCTTCTACGTATTTGAGGTATTGAATCATAGGAAAGGGTACATAAGTAGTGTGGTTATAGGCTATGAAGATCATGTATAAGTTATGCAATATGTTATTTTATGAAAAGAATATGTTCATCGGCTTATGTTTTGTCACTGATTTTCTAAGGCAACTGATGGGCTCGTGTATTGAATCTGTCGAGTATTGTGTTTATTTCTTCTATGTTACTGAAACTGAGGATGACTTTTTTCAAGTGTAGAAATGGACCACGACAAGACAGGATGCCAAAGTCCACCCGAAGGTCCAAAGCTATGTATCAACAACTGCGGTTTCTTCGGAAGCGCTGCCACAATGAACATGTGTTCAAAGTGTCACAAGGATAAGTTGTTTCAACAAGAACAAGGGGCTAAGTTTGCATCTGCAGTATCTGGAACATCATCATCATCCAACAACATCGTAAAGGAAACCCTTACTGCTGCGTTGGTCGATGTTGGAACCAAATCCATTGAGCCGATGGTTGTCTCCGTACAGCAATCTTCTGTCCAAGTCGTTGCAGAGGTGGTAGCATCAGAAGAAGCTGCAAAACCAAAAGGACCAAGCCGATGTACTACTTGCAATAAGCGGGTTGGTTTAACTGGATTCAAATGTCGCTGTGGTAACCTCTTCTGCGGATCACACCGTTATGCAGACATACATAACTGTTCCTTCAATTACCATGCTGCTGCACAAGAAGCTATAGCTAAAGCAAACCCAGTTGTGAAAGCAGAGAAGCTTGACAAAATCTGAAACTCATAAAAAAAGCTTCTGTTTTCAGGTACGGTACACCGATGTTTCCTTTCTTCCTGTCTGTGTCTGGTTCAAGTATCTCTCATGTTTAAAATAGGTCGAACGAAAGCGTGGTGTGGTGATGTTTAGCTTTCTTCAATCTCCTCTCTCTGCAATATTTGTGGTGTGAAACTTACTATTATCTGTGTTTGCAAAGCAGAGAAATATGTATGTGCTCTTAAAAGAATATGCTTTGATGTGTTTCTCTTTCTTATTATTTTTATGGGCATGATTATGTTTTATGTTTCTTCCTTTGGTCTGTATCATACTGAGATTGTTGTCTCTGTAGCTATATGAAGCATTTTATGTTTGTCCTTCAATGGAGGTTTTTAGGTTTCTGGTTGATTCCTTCTCATTTCTCTGATTCTTGAGCTATGTAACTATGGAAAGTCATGAACTTTAACATAGCCGGTTAAACAGGATAAACCGTTTAACCGGCGCCGGAAACTCTCAAAACTACTCTTCTGAAAACTAAACGTTTCTACAAGTATTTTAATTAAAATGGCATGAATACAAAAGTTGTAGGGATGCATAGACGGTAGCAACAAAATTATGAGAGCAACATGTGGGAGAAAATTAATTAAAATATAGCAAAATTCCTTATTGTAAATTTGGCATTTATGTCTTTATTGCGTAAGGTTAGTTGAGAAAGTAAGTTTGAGGTGAGATATTTAGAAGGGAAATTGACATCAATAACTATAAAAAAAATTATATCTAAAATTCTAACCAAGTGTCCTAAATCTAATGCTCATTATTTGGTCATATCTAGCCATTTTGGTTACTTAGTTGATTATTAATTTTTTTAGTTATTGAGCAAATTGACCCTATTTAAAACATATTATTGTTTAAAAAAAATAACTTCTTATCACATATGAAGATTTTATGTAAAAACCAATTTCGAATGAATTTTCACTTGTTTTTAGTGATAGGGACTCTCTAGTCTCTATGCCAACATGGAGCTGCGGCCCGTGGGCTAGGCCCAAGTAAAATTCCAATGGGGTAGGTTTGGACACATTTAAAATCCACAACTCGTGACGGGCCAATCCGTATGGGTTGAAATTTTTTTTTGGTCCGTAACGGGTTGGCCCATTTGGACGCGGACTGGCCCATTTGGCCGTCTAAATTTTTAGTTTTAACTAAATGACTTTAAATTTAGTGTTTTTGTGTGTCCTTCTTGTTAATGATTTGAGGTTTTTGTTACAAAATTTAATAACAAAATTTTCTTTTAACCATGAATACATGTTTAGTTTCAATATATGTTTATTTAAAATATGAATAAAGCAAGTTAGTCAAACGGAAAAATCCATTAATACATCATTTCTATCGTCTAATTTTTTTATGTTTATATTATAAATACAAAACATATAACTTATATCACTAACCAAATTTAAACAAAAAATTGTTTCTATTTATCAATCACAAACAAAACAAAAAAATATCGTCAAGTTACATTAATTATATAACGTATATAATAGATGTGAATGAGAGCCTAACCATAAAAGTGAAACATAAAAGTTTACGTACATACTAAGGCAAAAACACATATACAATATATATTGATATGATACTATGACAAATCACTGAAAATCATGCTTGGTTTGTTTTAATTGTTTGTTGCCTTCTTGGATATTAGTTTAGACTTTTATTTTGAATTTAAAGCACAGATTGAGGTGTTTGAGTTTTAATTTTGAGTTAAAGACTATGACTCAGTTTGGATTTTTAAAATTTGATATTTTGATGTGCTATTGGTGTTTCTAATTTGATTTGGATTGAAAAAAGAACTTAGACGAGAGTTTTCTTTTGATTCACATAAGCTTTGTATACTAGACATTTGAAATAGTTAAAACCTTTAGTCTTGGTCAATGTATTCGCGTTTGGTTTGTGTACACAATAAAGCCTTAGACGAGAGCTTGCTTCTAATACACATTAATTTTGTTTCATTCATATCTTGTGTTTCAATGTTACATTTTTTTTTGTATGTTGTAGCAAGACTATTAATTATAACATGCGGGTTGGTCCGTTAGCCCGTTTGCCAAAGTAATACGGGTTTGGACATATATTTTGAACCCGCAACCTGCGGCGGGCCAGTCCGTATGTGTTGGAAAAAAATTATGTCCGTTACGGGTTGGACTATTTGGATGCGGGCTTGGCCTGTCTGATATCTATAATAGGGAATGATCCAAGTTTTTTATAGTAGACTAATTTTTTTAGAATGAGACTAAGCGTCGAATAACCAAATTAATCGTATTTTTTAATGGATCTAAAACGTGATACCATTTCACGAATATTTCTTTTTGAAAATTTTATTTTCCTTCTTCGACCAAGCAAATGAAAGTTAATATTTTTTTAAAACACAAACTCATACTAGAAAGGTTTACTTCTTCCCTCGACATCATTTTACAATTCTGCCACCACCAATTTAGTTATTGTAACGTTTGTTTACTTTGATGAATTATGCATTATCACATATGCTTCACCGTTTGTTTGACCACTCGCTGAGTTTCACCGATCATAGTTTTCCTTCTTCGCTTTGTAACAAGACACAAGTTGATCAGTGTCCTAAGCCACGTGTCATTAGTACAACCGCAAAGATTGTAAAAGCTGCGTACGTTGATTCAGGTTTTTGGTTCTTCTTTGTTTGATTTCACCCAAAATGCCAAAAACAATAAAATCATGTCTCTTTCACATCCACTTATTTCACACTTTCATAGACTTTTCTTTCGAAATGAGCCGAAACCAGATAATCCTTTCGGAAATACGACTACAAAGGTGGACCATCATTTCTAGTATATGAGATTATCTAATTATATGATGTTCTGTTTAAATTTTAAATTCAAAATCAACCGACAATAAATACTTTCTCCGTTTCTTATTATAAGATGTTGTAGAGATTTTTTTTGTTTCATATTATAAGATGTTTTTAGATTTTTATGTATTTTTTACTTTATTGAAAACTGTGTAACCAATAATATTATGCAGTCTTTTTTTTAATTGGTTGAATTGTTTATATTTAATAATTTTTTTTATAGAGAAGTTTTTCTTAAACTTTGTGTTTAACCCAAAACATTCTATAATAAAAAATGGAGGGAGTATAAAAATTCATGTACTTG